CGAACATTAGTATTACTAGTAGCACCATGTCTTCAGCTATAAAATTTGTAGAAAGCGTTATTTGCAGCCAAATAAGGGAATATTTTGCGCCTGGTTTCCTTTCAAAACACGTTTTAATTTATAAGGGCAGTGAAAATTAATGAAAAAATGCACACTACTGAAGTAGCCATTTTTCACAGAGTAGGCTTTTTGCAAACGGTTAGAGAGAGAGGCTGGCTTAAAAGCTGGCATCCTGATGTGACTGAAACATCCCCCAAGTATGCTACACGATAATCACTATTACAAATCCACTGTTAACAAAAAAAAATTTCAACGAAAACACGTTTCGGTAGACATTTCATGAATTAAGGCGTCTACTCTACATCCATAGCGCCATCCCTGATTTGCAAGTGCAAAGTGAATCAGTATGAACGAAACGTTTCTTATATCAGTTAATAAGCATGTCTTGGCAACATTTGTCGATTCGTGCAGCAAGGAGTGTTTCAGGGCAGTTATTAAGGAGAGGTTAACCCGGTCTCCAGAATGTTGGACGTCCGTCGTTTCACAAAAAAAATTGACTTTCCTGGAGCAGCAAGTATCAGGATCGCTTCCAGACACCTCCGATCTAATCGGTGACTCGAGCACAGTCACCCAATCAACAACAATGGGATCCTAGGACAAATTTACAGCATGGAATAGCTAACCTGCAGGTCCTTGACCAATTTACACTGGCGTACGCGCACGTGCATCTAGACAGCCGCGACTACCCAAACGTCCCTCCCCCCACCTGTTGGAAATGCACCCATCTACAGAAAGGCCCCTGAGTGCAACTTACACTCAGTTGTCTCTCGCGTTCCGCCGAAAAATTCGCATGGCCTCTGTGTGTGTGAACGACTTGCTGTAAAAAGCTTTGCCTGAGTGCACGCTCTCTCTCTCCGGCAAACTGGTCTTCCCTGTCTCTGTCTCTCTCTCTCTTACGGGCCTTGGGTACCGTTTGTGCTAATTACCACAACCACCACACACGACAAAATCCCCAGGTAATGCCACAAAGGGTGAACACTTGAACCTAACTAGTCTAACTAAAGCAGCCGCCACCAACCTCTCACACTCCCTCTTTCTCAGGCATGGGGGTACACAGACAACGCTAGCTGTGGCGTCGCTAATGGCCACTGCTGCCTGAGACAGCAACTGGGACACAATTTACCCCCCTAATTCTTGCGCCTTCTGTCTCTGTTACCTACAGCTCCAGAGTTGAGCTGATAATCATAGTGCGCTGAACAAAACCATCGCTTAGACCGCTAAAAATACCCAGGCCAGTTATACTGATTAGGGAACCAGGAGGCGACATTAACACCTATGTGAAGCCATAAAAGCAAAGGAAACGAGAACAGCTGCCGAGGC